TCAGCACTCTCGGGTGGATCCCATCCGGCCCCATAGACTTGTGAGCATCCAGGTGGCGTAGCAGGTCATTGACTGCTTCCTCTTGGATTATGGGGGGTTCATCCTGCTCGCTGTCCCTGTGTTCCAGCTCAGGGGGCTGAGTACCCTGAGAATAACTGGTCTGCCTGTTAGAGACTGGGGCAAAGAAGGCATTAAGTACCTCAGCCTTTTCCTCCTCCTTGGTGACAATGTTCCCCCCCACATCCAATAAAGGGTGGAGATTCTCCTTGGCTCTCTTCTTGTCATTCATATACCTGTAAAAACACTTTTTGTTGTCTTTAACGACAGCGGCCAGATTGCGTTCTAGCTGGGCTTTTGCCTGTCTCATTTCCTCTCTGCATGACCTAACGAGATCCCTGTACTCTTCTTGAGTCGCCTGCCCCTTCTTCCACAAGTGGTAAACTCTCCTTTTTTTCCTGAGTCCTAGCAAGAGCTCCCCGTTCAGACAGGCCAGTTGTCTTCCCCGCCTGGTCTTCTTACAGACTTCTGTCTGTCTCTTTTTCACAGAGTGGGTTTTAAGGGGCTTTTTATTTCTTCTTTTTTTTTTTTTTTTAACTTTTTAAAATGGAGATGTTAAATACCACCTTCTGAGTACAAATCTCACATAGGTTTGATTCCCATTCTGGTTCCTGTTCTATATGGGTTTGGCCAAGTACCATAGCTGATTCTATTTTTTTGGTTTTCCCCCTGTGTCCCCTTTTTTCATCTGTAAAATGGGCAAAATATACAATAGATTTTCAAGTAGGGCTCTTCTTCAGGAGCTATTTGTGTATTGCATAACTTTGAACATCAAATTGCAGCATTTTGGCTGATAATGTACTGATTATTTTTCATTATTTCATTTCCTTTTGTACAGTGTCCAAATCTTTTTTCTTTCTTTTCATCCTCCTTAATATCGTATAGGTTTATGTCCAAACCTGGAATGGACAGAATCTTTCCATGACTATCGTACGAGATGAGTACCCAGCCAATCCCATGGTTCTTCGAGGTATTAATCAGAGAGCTGTCTTTCAACAATACCAACCAGTAGTGATGCTCCAAAAGGGCTACACAATACATTGGAATGGAAAAGCTCCAAACGTCACCTATCTTTATCTCATTAACTTCAACAAGTATGTTTACTTTCTTTCATGTCATTGATCTATAAGGCAATACTGAAGTAATGTCCTGCAGAATTAGCATGGATGAGAGTTTGCAGCTGTCAGTAAGACTGGATCTTGGGTTGTTTTTTTTTTCTCCGCAATTACAAATACTAAAGTATGAAAAGCAAGAGATTAAGCAATAGACCTGCACCTAAAGTTAAACTTTCATCCAGTACAGTGTCTTTAAGGAAAATCCTTTGGAGAAGAAAATGTGCAAATAGTGAACTCAAGCAGAATTGGAGTTGAATAACTTAGCATACTAGATTTTGTTGTCAAATAAACTTATTAAATGTCTAAAGTATAAAATCAAATATATCCTGAGAGTATCAAAGTTACTATAACATTTAATGAAACACTTTGTGTAGACAGGGGAAGAAAGATCTTCTGGTTGAGGGTTTGGGAGCTTTTTGTGTTCCTGTTACTTGTTTTTTGAGTGATCTGTTTGCGTATTGTCATTAAACTGTTCTTACAGTGAATCATACCTTTTATTTTGTTTTCAGGAATGACTGGATCCGTGTTGGTCTTTGTTATCAACCAAATACAGATTTTGTTATAGTATTGGAAACCTTTCAAAGGCGGTCATCTGCTCTGTCAAGCAAGGTAGAGCGCTACATGCCTGTATCTTCAATGATGGAGCTCGAAAAGAATCAATCAGACAAGAAGTTTTACTTTGACAACAGTACTGGGTAACTACTTGTAACTTGACCCTATTGGAAGATGTTGTTTAACCTTAAAATGTCCAGTTTGATAGTGTTAAAAGCAACTGATTGAGACACCGGCATAAGAGGAAAGCTGTTGTGAAGGAGCCCAAAGCCTGTTTGAAAGAATACTTTATGTGACTTTGAATCTCCAAAACACAGTGGTTGTTACTGAAATACTTTTCCAAGAGCACTACAGTTGCCACAGATATTTCCTACCCCATGCCTGGGAAAATGTGGTACCTGGTGTGCTGCAGAGCAGTGTCTTTCAGGAAGTAACTTCTAAGTCTTCAAAGAAAACTTGTGCCTTCTTGTTAAACTGAAAATTCTAGAAATTTCCAAGAAGTTTTTATTCCAAGAACATTTTAAGAATGCATTTCTGAAAATCCTAATCTGTTTTCAGCCTTCTTGAATGTACTTAAGAGTCCTAGTCTCTCTTTCAAAAGTACTTCTGACAGAGGCCACTGAGATCCTTCTGAGAGATTTAAGATATGGTCAACTTTGAGTAAAATAAGCCCTACATATATCACTTCTGTGTTTTGCAAATGTTAATCTTTATAATTTATTGTCTTATTTATTTTGTTCCCTTGTCTGCTACTTTGTCTGTCTGTAGTAAATATGCAGATGAATGTAGCTTTTGAAAAGACATTTACATTTCTTTTGCCTAAAAGCTACAGTGATAACAGTCAAATATATAGTAGAAGAATTACTGGTCTCTGTGTACTGTGAACATTAATGACCACTACCCCCTAAATTGCATTTCCAGGCATTTGCAACAGTACAATTACATTGTTCAGTGCTGGTGGGTGAAGCTGAATATCCAAACAATTACTGCTGGGTATCTGCAAAGATCTATGGTCAAAGAAAACACTTATGCTCTGCAGTTTGGTTTTTGTTTCCTGCAAGCCACCCATTTGAGGAGTGGCTGTTCTTTTCAAAGCATATGCATTCATAATGATGTCTCCTTTAATTGTTGGGAATTTCAGGTATGTCAGTAGAGACTTCCTAACTCTAGTAAACTGTAAATATTTTGAAAAAGTTTGAACAATGGTGCAGAAGTGAATACTGTAGTTTCTCTGCTTCTGAAAATCATGAAATACAGCTGTTGAGGTTTAACATAACTGCTTATCTTTCCAGCAATTGATCTAGATTCTTTTTCCCCCTTTTGTGTAGATTACTGTTTTTATTTCTTCAAGCCAAATATAATAGGGATGGTCACAGTTATTGCTCATCTCAGGGATGTGAAAGGATCAAGATTGTGACCAAAGACTCAACAAAAGGGATCAGTAACTGCATGGCAAAAGCTTACCCAAAGTACTACCAAGGACCAACCGTCATAAAGCGGATGCCAGTAAAAACTACTGTACCATGTACAAAATGCGGCACAACTCAGGTAAAATAAAATAAGCAAAAACTTTCATGAACTGTATAGTTGGTGTTGCTGTCTACTTGCTTTCAGGCAGAATTTCAGTCTTTCAGCACAGAATACTGCACCTACCGGTTTGCGATGGTCATGTTGTTAATCTGTACACTAGAAGGCAGGGAGTCCCTTGTAGCACAAAGGTTTCAGTTCTTGTTTTTTGAACAATACTGCTTCACCTCTCACTCAGAGTGCTATAGAGAAGGGGCATCTGATGTCTTGTACTACAGTATTGTCTGTACTCTGTGTGGGATAGCTTTGCTGCAGAGATCGATATGCTATTGGCCAACCTTCTCTCTTCTTTTTTGGATCTTTGCTTATTAGCATGAACTTGAAATTACATTATCTATTTTAGCTATACAGGCTGAGAAAAATACTGAAAGTAAGGAATAAAATGGGTTACACTATACATCATGGTATTTATTAGCATTGCTAGCACCATAAATAATGCCACCGACAAATGGATGCATTTGCTTTGGAGCATGGGCAGTCTGTTGTAAACTGTCTGGCATGATAAAGTGTTGAAGACACATGGATATGTGTACTTAATGTGTTTCTTTTGATATCCAGATGGTATTCACCAGTGATCCTCACAAAAACTACCTCCTTGTGCAGATTAATTCATCTGGTAAAAAAGAGTTAAGCAGAGGTCAGCAAGCATTTATTTCTGTAAGTATTCTTTATGGTTTTCTTCTAACTATCTTTCTTTTCAGCAGTTTGTATTACAACAGTTGTACAGCTGCACATAATGCTGACCTCACTTTTCTTCACTTGATTGAAAAGTGTTGGTTCATAGTTTAAAAATCAATCAGTCAAAAAACTGATGTTTTAACCTCAGAAAATGAGGCTCCAAAGCTCCATTTTGTATTTGAATCCTTTCCTGCTGGAGAAAAAATTGTACTGGTAAGGGAGAGTTTAAAATCTTCAGATTCATGCTGAAATCTAGATGAATGTACACTTACTGATGGCTGCTTTTGGGGAAAAAAAAAAACCCCAACAACAACAAAAACCCCCACAACCAAAACAAAACCAAACAACCTGTTAGTTAAATCCATGTTGTTGAAATTGGTTTTGTGCTAACAGAGTGGTGAGTTAATGAGATGAGTCATTCAAGCCATTAAGCTTTGCGAAACTCCTTCAAAACTGCAATTACTAAAGAATCCATAGAGATTTCTGTATTTGTTCTGATGTGGTCCTGATAAGCCTAGTGATGTGACACTGTATAAAAAGTGGTTTACTTTGACTTTCCTATTCGAATGCTGAAGGAAACTTGCACATGGTGCTGAAATAGCATTTGCAGACACCCTTACACCATAAAGCTTAAAGTCTGTATGTGGCTTACATTCTGTAATGTCAGTGCAATAGTGTCACGGTTTAACCCCAGCCAGCAGCAAAGCCCCACACAGCCGCTCGCTCACTCCTCCCTGGTGGGGTGGGGGAGAGAATCAGAAGATTAAAAGTGAGAAAACTTGTGGGTTGAGATAAAGACAGTTTAAGTAAAGCAAAAGCCGCACGTGCAAGCAAAGCAAAACAAGGAATTTGTTCACTGCTTCCCATGGGCAGGCAGGTGTTCAGCCATCTCCAGGAAAGCAGGGCTCCATCACGCGTGACGGTTACTTGGGAAGACAAACGCCATCACTCTGAAAGCCCCCCACTTCCTTCTTCCCCCAGTTTTTTATTGCTGAGCATGACGTCATATGGTGTGGACTACCCCTGTGGTCAGTTGGGGTCAGCTGTCCCGGCTGTGACCCCTCCCAGCTTCTTGTGCACCCCCAGCCTACTCGCTGGTGGGGTGGTGTGAGAAGCAGAGAAGGCCTTGACTCTGTGTCATCACTGCTCAGCAGTAATGAAAACATCCCTGTGTTATCAATGCTGTGTTCAGCACAAATCCAAAACATAGCCCCATGCTAGCTACTATGAAGAAAACTAATGCTATCCCAGCCAAAACCAGCACAGTTAGCTTGACGGAAATATTAAAACTCTTGAGTTATTTAGACAGACAAATGGCGCGTGAGCAGCGGAATATGTGTGCTGTATCCAAAGCAGTAAGACTGTGCCGTAGGAAGAAACTGGGCTGGAAGTGGGCTGCTGCAGAGACAGATTATCTGTACTGTTGCCAAGAAGTCCAGGTGGTTCAGTATCTGAATTTTAGCTTCCTGGAGCATGAGAAATGACCAAGGCAGGTAGTAAGTCACCTGAAATGTCTGATCTCCCTGTAGAAGCCAGGGACTGAAGGCTCCCATGCAATTTCTGAAGTCCCACTGAAAGCCTCCCCCCAAGGGGGACAATGAAGAGATGCTAGAGAGAAGCAAGTATTTGTAAGGAAATTAGTGCACCACTGTGTCTAAACTAGATGAAGATTAACACTGGGTGCACTGGAATCACTGTTGAATTCATGTGAACTTTAAGAAAGAAAGAAAAAGTTCTTTTCTCTTTTTTTCCTCCCATTCAGGTCAATGACACTATGTTTTCCTTCAAGGATAATGGTATACTTATTGTTGTAGTTGATGCCTGCATTGGCACAGTGTCGGGAAACAAAATATTTTCTGGATTAGACATTAAGCGTGTAGGTGGATATTTAAAATCTGGAATTCCACAAAGGTACGTGTAATGACCATTTATTTCCAGTATGTCCTGTAAGCTGTAGCTCTGCTCTCTAACGAGGATTTAAATAATTATGTCTATACAGGAGCACTGAAAGTGAGCAAAACATGTATCTAAGTTGAGGGAAAGGGAGAAACGTAGGAGCATGTTAACAGACAATTTAGCCTTATTTGAGAAAACAAAGCAACTCAAATTTTGAACACTTACAATTTTCCAGTGTTGCTTGTCTTTCACTTCAAAAAGATTTTTTTTTTTACTAGTCATCATGTAATAACACTTCTTTGCTTAAATCAAGAATATTTTTTTGTTTAATAAGGTCACTTAGGACACTGACAATAACTATGTGACAAGATATCATACTGTTCTCTCCCTATCTAGGGAAAAAGTTGCTTATCATTAAAGAAAGTCAAAAAGTTAGTGTCAGAAAAATGAGCATTCTCATAGTCTAATTTTGGATCAATATCTAAACTTGATTTTTGATACAAATTATTTGTATCAAAATAATTTCCAATTATTTTGAAGCTAAATTTTAAAAAATCTAAAGTTTAAAAAAAAAAAATTCTAGGAGGGGGCTTTTCTAGGTACTGCTTGCAGAGAGGGTTGACTATTTCCATGTCATGAAATGACATGGCATGAGTACTTTTAAGCAAGTGGACTATGAGGCCAGCTAGCTGTAAAAACGTGTAGCAGAGTATTAAGAAAACTGTGTTTATAAGAGCTGCTGTCTCTACACTGTTTCTGCTGCAGGTCTATCGTTCTACTGAGCACAAGAGGTGATGTAGCAATTCCTAATAATTTATCAGAAGCCTTAATGTCCATAACACTTCTTTGCTTAAATCAAGAATATTTTTTTGTTTAATAAGGTCACTTAGGACACTGACAATAACTATGTGACAAGATATCATACTGTTCTCTCCCTATCTAGGGAAAAAGTTGCTTATCATTAAAGAAAGTCAAAAAGTTAGTGTCAGAAAAATGAGCATTCTCATAGTCTAATTTTGGATCAATATCTAAACTTGATTTTTGATACAAATTATTTGTATCAAAATAATTTCCAATTATTTTGAAGCTAAATTTTAAAAAATCTAAAGTAAAAATCAAAAGAATTCTAGGTGGGGGCTTTTCTAGGTACTGCTTGCAGAGAGGGTTGACTATTTCCATGTCATGAAATGACATGGCATGAGTACTTTTAAGCAAGTGGACTATGAGGCCAGCTAGCTGTAAAAACGTGTAGCAGAATATTAAGAAAACTTTGTTTATAAGAGCTGCTGTCTCTACACTGTTTCTGCTGCAGGTCTATCGTTCTACTGAGCACAAGAGGTGATGTAGCAATTCCTAATAATTTATCAGAAGCCTTAATGTCCCTGGGGACAGCCAAACCGCCTTATCTTCAGAGCAACGGTTGGTGGAAATTTTGCATATTTCTTTGACACCACCTTGGTCTGTGTGTTTATGTTGGCATGGTGGGTTTCTCACAGGGTGTGTGAAAAGGATGCAGCTGGGGGAGGATGGTTGCCAGTTTGCACTGGAGGGGGCTGCTGCATTTCAGCCCTTGTTGGGGCGGGCAGCCCTTCAGCAGATGGGGCAGAAAACCCTTCCTGTTGCCCTGAAGGGCGTTGTGTGAAGCTTGTTGCAAGCAGAGAAGTGACTAGCAGTTCTTTGTGCCTGTGGATTACAGAAAAAGAGCCCCAGGCTTTTTTCCCCAAAGCCTGTATTTTGTGCCTCACCCAGCGAATCTATTTTTAAATAATCTCCTGTGCCAGACTAGTATTTCCTGTACTAACAAAATTTGAAGGCAGAGATGAGAAGCTGTTGGTGTTTTGAGGGCTGATCACTTTATAGGCCACGTGGGGTAGCTCTAGTCCATTCAGGGCCCTGGCACAAGTCTTGTCTGAGGAAAGCGGGTTTCATAACTGTCCCGATAGCTGTGTTTTCAAATTAAGATTTCAGAGTATCTAATACTGAATATTGAAAAAGGAGACTGCAAGTCAGTATTTCCTTGCGAGGTGCATGTGAAGCTGAGAGTGGATTAATGTCCTGAATAATCTGGCGGGGGGAGAATTTCAGAGGAGCACGCCATTCCCTTCCCAACCGGTGCTGTGTTGTGCTTGGACAGGCTTGGCTGTTTGGGTAACACGGAGCTGTTTTTGTCACAGGAAGCCTGGCCTTTCTGGGCTTCAGAGGAAACTTTAAGCCATCCTGGATTAAGCTGTTTACCGGTCCTGCTGGGCATGGGCTCGTTCAGATAGAAAAGTATATCCCTTTACAACTGGAAGAGTATGGCTGTGCCAGAGCAATCAAAAGCCGACGGAAAGACCTCGAGCTTCTGAAGAAGGCTACACGATCTCATTAAAGACTAAGATGTACATAAAAGCTGGGGAAAAAAAATGTGAACTAACTTATTTTTTAATTTATGGCATTTTAAACTATATTGTTATCCAAGAAAATCATGTTATTGTCTGACAGATGTTTGCCAGCATTGACCGCTTGAATGCCAATCTGTGCACCTTCTAGTTGTACAAAATATTAAAGAATTTATTAGTATTTGTATAAACAGGTTTCAGAGATTTTTTCAGATGTTTGTATTTACTGTAAACAAGTTCCTTCTGTTTAATACTCCTTTTGTATGTAAGAGGGTGTTCATAAAAGCCTTTAATTTTTGATAACAGGTGTTGGAGTGCATCTTGGACTACTTGAAAGATTAACGTTAAAGTCTCCATAAACAGCTTGAATTGGTCATTATAACTTACACATTTTCCCTCAGCTGTTTAGGTGTTTTCCTGAGGGTTTATTTAGCAATCAGCTCAGTTACATTCTCAATCTGCTTTCCAAGGTGTTAAAAACCAGTTTCCCTCATGTGTGCAGCTGACTCAATGGGGTTTAACTGCAGTAAAATTTTTGCTTTGCTGTATAAAAGACAGAGAGGGGGGATTCAAAGATTCAGCCTGGGGCTGGGTGAGGATTGTGTACCATGCAACAGAATTTAACGAGGCTCTGGTTTTTGGGGTCACTGTTTACTATTCACCCCTAAATATACAGGTGCCTGTAAGAGTTACTTCAGTAAACAGCCTGGGTGTTAAGGCTGCAGTCTTGGGTACAGCTTGACTTCAGCTTTTTCTTTTAAAGCTTTTAGCCAGAAGGGCAAAGCTGAGATATTGTTACTCTCAATTTGTTATGAAACTAAGCTTCTACTCTTGCAGTGATTTTTGGTTTTTTGGTTTTTGGGGTTTTTTTTTCTTTAAGGCTATTCCAGCTCTAGCTTTTAAGTGAATGGAAAGTGCTCTCAGTTCATTCAGGCATGTTATATCTTTTGCCTTCAATTAACTTCAATTCTTTTAATATACTCATGTTGCTAATTCCTATTGATTTTATATTGGGTCCGTTTGATTTCTTTTGGTTTTGTTGCAATTATTTGACCCTTTCTGCAGATAGTGTGAAAATCATTTAGAAGAACTGAGGCACAGCTGCCCTTTTTCAGGATCCTAGTCTTTGAAATTAAATTTCAGAGACTGTAAAGATGCATTTCATAATAGGGAACAATAGGTGTCATAGGGCTAAAATGTAACCATAGTTCTAATAAAACTGACATAGTTCCTTCTTCTTGTATATGTTCTCATTCATTCTAGCTGGTATAATGTATCTACCATTCAGAGATGCTTTGTGCTTTGAATTCAAAATGGAGTGGCTGTTGGAAATGAACTATATGCCTGTCTTCTCCAAAGAAGTTGAAAAACTGTGGGGATTTTTTTTGTGCTTTAAAGGAGAGGAGGCACAGTAGCAGACCTATTATTCTGTTCAATTAAAATATGCTACCTCAGTGCTACAATTAAACTGCCTGGTCTAGTGTGGTTTCCTAAGTGAGAGGGAAGGAGAAAGGAGCACAACGCAAGAGATGAAGTTAACAAATAGATGACTGATGTTATTTTTATTGTAAAACCAAGCCAAATGGATGATTGTGTATTTTGCAGTTGTTTTGATGCACAGTTCTCTTATAATGCTAAAAAAAAAAGATGTTAGGGGGAGATGTGGTAAATCTTTAAGACTAGCTATAATGTTTGGTGTTACTAATGCAGGGCAATGTGATTTAAATGCTCTGAGTGCAGTAGTGATAGTGATTGGGGATTAAAATGGTTTTAAGACTTCCGCTGTTCTGTGGGTCATGCTCAGCAGAGAAATACCGATGAGGTAGTGACCTTCAGGCTTGTGAAGCTGGCCATTATTTATGAGATTCTGCTGTTCTAAGCCATCTTGTAAAAATTGTACTTGGAAGTGTCAAGGGTATTCTGATGTAGAGCTTACTGATGGACAATTGGACCTGAAGTTGAAGTGTTGTCTTTTGTGTAAATTTAAACTCTTGATAAATAGCATAAATAAATTTTTACATCTGACGAGGCAATAAAATCTTGGGTCTCTTCTGTTCTTGTATCAAGTAATTTTGTAATGTGTATTGTATGAATACTATAGATTATTTTATTCCAAACACCAATAGATCTGTGAAGTTCATGGAGCATATCCTACTCTTCATTCAGAGACAAGTTGGGAATACTGGGAAAGGAGACACTTAATGGTGACTGAAATTATGGGCCTGTCTCCAAAGTCTGTCATCTTAAAGTCTGTCTGAGCTGCTAACTGAGTGTAGAGTCATTTCAATTTGGTGGGGACCAGTGCAGTATTGTTACCTACTCCAGGGAATCTTATCTATGTCTGTAACTGCCTGGTGGGGGAGTAAAGATGGAGCCAGGCTATTCTCAATGGTGCTCAGTAGCACAGGACAAAAAGCAGTGGGCACACATTGAAATGGAGGCAGTTCTACACAAACAGAAGGAAAACATACTGAGCAGGTGGTCAAGCACTGGAACTGATTGCCAGAGAGGATGTGGAGTCTTCGTCTGTGGAGGAGTAGCTATAGCTGACCCTGCTTTTGAGACATGTAGTGTCCTGGGCCATCTCCAGAGGTGGCTGCCAGCCCGGGTGCCGCTGTGGTTGTGTGCAGTTAAAATCACCGATGTACCTAGCCTCTCTTTTCCAAGCGTACCAGCTGCCGCAGCCTGCAAGGGCTAAGCCACATACTTTTCACCTCATGCCTGAAACTTGGTGAGATCTTAATGAGGCATCTGTGCCCCAAACCCAGTCCAAAAGGCATTGTAATAGCCTCTTCGTGGTCAGGCTTTGTATACAAATAGATTGATTTCCATTCCTTACTCAAATGGTGCCATTCTGCAGTAAAGAACTTAAAAATTCACCAGGCTAGAGAAAGGAAGGTGAGTTTAAAGCCCTAATGTAAAGCTTTTTAAGGCACATCTGGGCTCATGTTCTTGCTCCACAGGTTGTCTTTACATTTTATTTTGTAATTGTTACGATGTTTTAAAAACAACAACAAAAGAATAAATAAATTACTTGGAGCAGGGATCAGATTAAGTGTACTATGGATAAGGCATTCTCTCTGGCCAAAGGCACCACTGAAAATCCACTATATGAGGGGCTGGAGCCCCATCCCTTGAGAGCCGGGATGATGGCAAGGACATGCTTTAGAAGATAGACTTAATTCTGCTTATCATGGGACTGCAGTGACAGCTGAAGGCCCAGATAACTTCTGACCCAGGACATGAAAATAAGTTTTCCTGTTTGGGGCAAGTCCTGTGATTTCTTCTGCTTTCCCTCAACTCCTTTTAACATTATGTAGGAAGGATATACATCTGAGGACAGTCACCCAGCTCTGACTGAAAAGCCCAGTCCACCGGGTTTGATGATAGCTGTACAGTGGTCAATGAAGGTCAAAAGGGTATGTCATGGCTATATTTGTTTAAGGTGATCCTGGTGTCATCCTAGCGTCCAAACATCTATGAAATGCAAAGAAAAGCAGTATCTTCCAAAATTGCATTTATGTGAGCTTTTCCCGGTAATTAACTTCTCCACCACTTGTTCTAGGTCTTACAGGAAGGTTCTGTCCTTTCCTAGAGTTCACAAGCATATTTTTCTGTTCTAATGCTTCCTTTTTTCACTGTGTCACGTTAGTTAAAATTCTAAAATAATACTCAGTATTGAAGTATATAAGGCCACCTTTGGCTTGAGAGAATTTATGAGCTTTTAAACTATATGGTCTGGGAGTACTGCAATTTTGCATATTAAATTGTATTAACAATTGCAACTTGCTAAAAAAAAAAAAAGCGTGGCTGGCCATTGACTTGCATGACTGGGAATGATGGGACCGGCAAATCCTAGAAGTCCACCTCTCCTTTTTTATGTGATGAAACTCTGAAGAATAAATAGGTTTTGGATACAATAGGAACAATTTCGGGAGAAAGCAATCTGGGGTTCTCCTGAGATCAGCCTAGCCTTTTCTGATATGTCATCTTGTGCCTGCTTTTGTGTCCTTCCCTTAACCCATACTGAAAAAATTCAGAAAGACTTGTGCTTTTCTTGAAAGGTTTGTGGTTGTCACATTTGGTGTACTAGTGAGAAATTGGCTTGGTCAGATCACAGAGAAATTTCAAAGTCATCGGTCTGTATAAACTTTGTCCTTAAAGGCGAATTTTTTTCACTTTTCTGATTTCTATTGTATTTAAAAGTACAAAGCAGACTTAATTGTCATGCCTGGGAGGCAAATTCTTTGTTTCATCTTTGTCCAAGTTGAATGTGGTGACAGCTGAATATCCTGATTTATAATTTTTTTCTGAGGAAATGTTCTTAGAACATGCAATGGCCTGTCTTTGTATATAATTTATTCTAAACAGAACATAAAAACAAAGTGATATTTCAGGATTTTTTGTGTGTGTGTGCAAGTTTATAAGTAATAATGCTATACTAGAACTGCTACAAACAGTTAGAAATACAACTCTCCTGTGCAGTATTTCCAGTGACATTTTCAACAAATACACTAGGATTGGCTCAGGGTGTGTTTTGTGTAATTGGTAGCTTTTAGGGATGGATCTCAGATGATGACGTGCCATCTTTTTAATATCTGTGAGGTTCTTCAGCAGAAGATGGTTTACTCCATCTGCAGGGTGTGAACTATGATGTAATAGTTTTCTTCCATCTCTGGCGCAAATGACTGGCGCATGTTCTCAGTAATAGCAGACAACACCACAGTTATCTGTGGTCTCATATTATTTCTGTTTCTGAGAAATGATTCTATGATGAGCATCACTCAGTAGTATATGTTGTACATTTCTGCTTTTTGATAGCTTTTTTAATAGAGTAATATAAATTTCCATATGGCAGCTTGTTCTAGGTTAAATTTTTCTTTTTAATATTTCTATATTGATATCAGATTTTTCTGTCCTTAGCAACAGTGAAATGCAAAGTATTAGAAGATATGAGTATGTATACTCACATGAATCATAACAGCATGCACAATTGCCATTGGGTTCCTCCTGTTAGCTAGCATACAAATGTGAAATAAGGGCTCATGTCAGGCTTTAATAGTTGGACATGGAAGAAAACAAATGAGGGTTCAAGAAAAATTTGTTTGCAGTGTCTTTTCCCTATAAGCCATACACACCTTTCTTCTTTGGCTTTGTAGGGACAGGGTTCTCCTCACCACTTCCCTCTCAGTCCGTAAGGGCTGGGATGCTGCTCTGGTTAAGTATCTTGTTCCCATAGAATTTTCTATTTCTGATATTTCCAATGTTTTGCTGCCTTTGGATTTTTCTGAGAGATTGTCCATCCTTCTTCTCCATTAACTCTATTTCCAAAGCATCTTGGGGAGTGGGTTGGACCTCCTGTTTTCCCACCCTTTTAGTCTACTCAGCCTGACTTGAGTTTCAAAATGTAATGTCTCTTTTAACATCTATTGCCCAAAATACACTTCTTCCATTAAATTCTCTTGTCCCCATGACTCAGGGTGTAGCAACAGGTTCAAGATCAGATGGGATGCATGGAAATATCTTTTGCAAATAAGCATCAGATGTGGGGACGCTGCCCGTGTCAAACTGAAGGAATTAACAGCACAGAACTTGTGTAAAAATGTTGATCTCCACTGCCTATTTT